TATCATAGGATTCACCGAAAATAATAACGTGGTCCTAGAAAACGAAAACGGCGCGAGATTTTCAAAACATAGGGACAAGGTCATGGTTGCCCATATATAATTCCAATCACTAATGTTCAATATTGTTCTAGAATGCGGATGATCAACCAATTCACGATGATGGGAGTTGCTGTCCTAACTTTGCTATGTTTCCTTCCGATCACGACAGAAGCCCGGCAGGGAACCCTAAGCCAACCTGATGCGACTACAGGAAGTGACCAGTACCAGATCACCCCTTTCCCAATCCAGTAGCGGTATGTACTCTCGAGTACAATCGGGGAAGAGTCCGGAGATCGGTTAGCAATTGAGAATTGCCGTTGTTCCTGGAGCGTCGGAAAGCAGTGCTGATTTTTCGACGATCTAAAGCAGCGTCTAAAGAAGCTAGGAGCGCAGTTGTGGACCTGAAGAAGAATGGTGTTTGGATTTAATGGAATCATACCAATGTGGAAGACCGATGGGAAATGGCCTCTGAACTCCAAAACAATTCCGGATCCAAATCGAAGAATTAGAGAATACCAAAAGAACCTCACCTAAAAGAATGACCTCACACTACGAGCAAGACGGGCTGTTCCTCTACTTGGCTTCCTGGGAAAAAATTGCAGGACCAATCATTGGTGTAATGACATACGATGATGGAGAGAGATATAATGCAGCCATCCGAAACTTGAACGAAGCCCAAGCTAACCTATCACACCTCCGTCGCGAAAGCAGACTCATGTAGTCAGATCACAGCTTGATTCATTACACGCTCAGGTACAGCGACATGGCTCCCTGCTGCAGCATCTACAGGAACAACTCCAAAACGCTGGCTGCCCAGAACCTCGTCAAGATGAAGGCTGAAATGGAGAGAAGAAACCTGACCTTCGCCATAGCCAGGGCCCTGAACTAGGACTCGATCACAGTATTCAGGCAACCTCTACCATGTTGGAAGCAGTTCATGAGGCCAGGAAGGGACAGTTGCATCCTGGGCTCATCACCTCCGCCAGCTAGAAACCAATTCTCAGAGAAGTCAAGACAACCTCAAGGACGTGAAATTTCCTCTAACAGGACCAAGCTCAGCGTCGACACGAACTAATGCATATCTCCACGGTCACAATCCATTGTGAAAACCAACAGCTTAACGTTCTCATCGATATTCCCCTCTTGGAAAAATATAACTACCATGGCCTTCAAGCTTCACTCACTCCCCACCACCCAAGAAAATGCTCGGAAAATGGTACTGGAAGAGCATATGGTAAACTCCAAATATGATTATTTGATAATAGAGACGAGGATCAACGAACATACCTCCCGCTGAAGGAGCAATACTGGGACCAATGTAAGTCAACGACAATCATTCCATGCCATGCCTTCAAGGTGCCTCCATCTACGATTTTCAACAACGAGCATCCTGTGAGGCTTAACTCTTAATTAAACCAAACTACGGAAGCCCTAAGGTTTTGTGAAAGTGAGAATTACCAGCAAACAAGAATCTTACTGGAAACCACTGAATTCTAGTGGCGGCTGGATCTATCTCCTTCGCAGCTCCGGAAAACTGCAACGATTGTTTGCCACTCCCTTAGTCCAGTGAAAATTGAGTTAAGTAAATGCCGGAACATCACAAACTGGGACCCGGATGCTCCCTAAAAACCAAGGACACTATCATCCAGCCACGACCGCCCAGGCCGGGGAATCTGAGTTTATCTTCGAATCAGAACTACATTTAAATTTAACCACATTATCGCCATATTGGCAAGATACGGTCACCTGCTAAAAGGAATAACGTTTGCTGCTAACCCCGTTCTGGGAAGGAACCCGAACTCTCCACCTTCGAGGCCAACTCCAAGACACTAGACGATCTGGAACAGCAGCTGCAGGAATTATCTCTCCAACATCACCTCGGAGGAGAACACCGGACCTTGGTATATGGATCATACGGAGGACTGGTTCTACTGTCCATGATTCTCAGCTGTACATTTGCCGCGTTCCATGCCAATCTGGAATAGCTAAATTTAGCCGAATGTGGCTCGTCCGGAACAAAGAGTGAGAGTTTTTGAACTACCAGTTTCAAAACTAGCAAGACCAAGCCCCCCCGTTCGCCAGCCAGGAGAAGGAAGAGCCAGTGTACAAAGGAGATCGCCCCGCCCCCGACAAAGCGAGGAGAGACAACTATGAGAATAGAAAAGGCATCGACCTCCGGGCATATCGACCAACCTAAGGGAGAAAAAGCTCGCAACATTTGAAGAATCTCAGCAACGGAAGATCAGATGACTGATTGAAGGACTGGAATCCTGGACCTTTCCTGTCCCGACAGAAGATGACAACAAAAAGAAACAGAAAGTCTTCGACCACCACCAGGCGTTTTCACCACCAAAAGAACGACATCCCGGAAGACAACTCCGAAGATCACCGGAGAAGGCTAGCACCGCCCAAATCACAACTGACAATGAGAATCGCGGTAGCTCCCATAATTATTCGAGATAAGTAAATTCTTATTAAAATAATAATCATTTCAAGTAATTAATTAAGTAGTCTTAACAACCAAGGGTTTTTAACCTAATAATAATAAAAAAAAACCAACAAGGAAATTTTATATAAAATTCAAAAAAAAATTTTAATAAGTAAAGTAATAATAATAATGTAATAACAATATAAATCTAAATGAATAAACATAATTTTAAAAAAAAAAGAAAACCCTTTAAACGTCGATCGAGGAATTTTAGTGTCAGCAACTACCCTATTGGGTGACCAATTAGAAGGATACTTTTAATAAAGTGTGTAGTGAGAGATGTCGATGATGTCGGTACCGTCGGGATGTGTCCGGCTTAATCTCTGTTTTAAAAGAAAAACTAAAAAGAATTTTGTGAGGGAGGCTTACACGGTCTTACCGACTATGCAGCCGTTTGGGCCGCCCTCAAGAATCGCCAAACTTCCCTCCTACCATTTAGTCAACGGTAGTGAGCGTCTATGTATTGCAACGCATAGACGCCCACTCATGAGCTATGGGAGTGTTGGGTCAGTGCCTTGTCATCGACAACTCTCACTTATCTGTGCACCATTGTATAACATAGGATTTAAGAACTAAGTGATTGTGAGTACGAATTATCAATGATGGATAGCCGCCAACGATATCAGTACCGTCGGGATGTGTCCGGCTTAATCTCTGTTTTAAAAGAAAAACTAAGAAGAATTTTGTGAGGGAGGCTTACACGGTCTTACCGACTATGCAGCCGTTTGGGCCGCCCTCAAAATCGCCAAACTTCCCTCCTACCATGTAGTCAACGGTAGTGGGCGTCTATGTGTTGTAATACATAGACGCCCACTCATGAGCTATGGGAGTTTTGGGTCAGTACCTGACCGTCGGCGGCTCTCCTAATAAACTGAGTTGTCATTTCTCTCAGAACGAATATAGGAATCGAAAAACGGGATTATCACAGTTGGCCCCGGGATAATTGACATTCCAGCCATTACTATACTTACACTCAGTCTCAGAGTTATATGCAAATTGTCAATCAGATATCTGATTCGAGGCAACATTCCGTATGTGCGACAACAAAATTAGGCGCGTTTATAATAAGTTTTATGCCACTTACATGATCATTCCACGGTGCCGCGGGATGAGGATTCGGACCGAGATAATCATCCCTTTGTTAAAAAGAAAATTTATTATTTTTTTTTCCTCGGGATGGTGCGAGTGTGCAGCTACACTATTATATTCAATTCACCTACGCTATTTATGAAACAATGTACAGCCGAATAAAAAAAAAAGGGGAAGTAAATTTAATAAAAAAAAAAAATTACAGAATAAAAACAGCAAGCGTTAGGAAAATATTGGTGAATTTATTAAAGAATAGAAAAATAAAGAAAACCAAAAGATGGAACAGTAACATGAGCAATCATAAGGTTATACAAAAAGGGATTTCTCTCACCGGTGTATTAAGTACATATAAAAATTTAAAAAAAGATGGATGCTATATAAAATTTTTCCCTTATGCATAATTAATTAGGCACTTCTAAAGGGTCTCGATCATCTCCTCCCACGGTCCACGGCCCTTTCCTGAGCAGTCCATTAGAGTCGACCTCCTGCCACTGCTCATCTGGTTCCACGTTAAAGGACTAAAAGAAAAAAAAGGGGAATATAAATATATTCTACCATAGCTTAAAAAAAAAATAATATACTTCTTCAATTTCGGAAAATTTCCAAACAGAAAATTTTTTTTTTAATAAAAATTTGTTACAAAATTCTAAGGGAATTTACCAGTAAAAATAGTGTACACTTGACTCCCTGTGTAAATTCCCCTTCGCGAAATTCCTTAATATAATAAATTCAGTAAAACAAAAAGGGGAGAAATCGGAAAAGGAAAGGTGGGTCTAAATAATCCAAATAAGACGTTGACGTTCAAGAACATCTTGAGTCCTTACCAATGCCCACCGACAGCGCCCCTGCGGCCTCCCCTCACGGCTCCAAAAGAACGCTTGGAGAAACGTAAGTCGTAATATCCTATTAAAGGGCTGGTACCCAGTAGCAGGAGGCACCCCTGGGAGCGAGCTCATTGAACTAAAAGAAAAACAAAAGAGAAAAGTTTCGTCCCGATTCAGAAACCAGAATGAATCGATTAGCCTAGAACAAGTTACAGTCCTCGAACTAAGTACCTAAATTAAGGAAAAGTACGTAATTCAATTGAATCCTTAAGGCACGTGAATACGTACTTCTGAGTAACGGGGATTCTATACTTCATTAGAACAATTCTATTTAAATAGTTAAGCAGATTTAATCCTTATAATGTTTGTTTTATGAATAAATAATTTTCATACTGAAAATGATAATGTAATTTGAAAATATAATTTTTAACAAAATATGCAGGCCTCCCACTCACGACATTTAACACTTTTGACATTTTCAACTATTAAAAAAAAAAATTTTTTTTTTTTGACACTAATGACACTATTTTAATTCAGATTTGAACAAAGAAAGACAAATTTGGCCCTTATTGACGCCTAACTTTTCACTTTTGCCCCTAAGGTACGTAATTTTAATGCCGGAGGTAGTTCGAGGCCTGAAATTATCCTGAGCTCTTACCAGTAAATGTTGCTATCCTTGCCGCGCCATTTACCCTGAATAAGTCGGGTAGATTCTCGCCCCTCTTTCACCTCCGTCAGGTTAACGAAATCCTTCTAAAATTAATAAGCAATCATAACTATTCGGAAGAGATGCCCTCCCCTGGGTCCACATTAAATCTCTTGTCAATTATGAAGTTATTCCTACACTTACCATGGCCCAGAAGCCGCGACATAAGTGCTGCTGGGTAGCCTCGTCCCACCGATACTCCTGGTACCACCGAGAGCGGGAGTAGAGTTTCGGGTGGCTTTCTCTAGCCAACCGGGCATCATGGTACCAGGCCTCCCCTTCATCTCTTCTATGGGGGGCTGGTCTCCAAGCCCCGAATTTAATCAAAAATCTAAAGGAAAGAAGGGAATAAATACGCTTGAATCCGAATACGTGGGACTTCTCCCATTCGAGTTTAGAGTACACATATATGTGTTCTAGTTCTGTTTACAACTTTTGATTATTAAAGGAAAAGGAAGGCATAAATTCAGTAGAATAAAATCATTTAATTATTTTAATTGATAAATAAAGTGCTAATTTTCATTGTGAAAAATGGCTAACAATTATTAGTGAATTGATTCTATCAAATTAATCGAGATATGGAAAATGTCAATTTTTATGTTAAAAAAAAAAGAGAGAAGAGATATTATGACTCATTAAATTCTACATTTTAATAAATTACATTATAGTCTTCGATTATATAAATAACTATTATAATTACCCAAAATTGTTAATAGGTTATTTAAATATTATACATTGTTATTCCATTACAATAATTCTATTTTATTATTATCACATATCATTGATAAATAATTATCCAATATTATTTTAGGAATAAATAATTATTGTAAAATTGTGCATATGACCTTTGCATTATTTGAAAGGTGATTAAATTTTAATTTGACAGGTTTACGAACGTCAAACAACTAGGAAACTATCCTTTTGACATAAAGGATTCCATTTAAAAATAAAAAAAAATATATATACCAAACAACAAATTAAAATGAGCTAAATTCTTATAAATTTTTACAGTTCTGGATTCCTTGGTAGAAAATAACTAAAATATTAAGATAATTTTAAAATTATTTACATCACATGAACAATAGGAAAATAGAGTTTTCTATTATATCAGAGCGTTACAGCCATTTAAGAAAGTTCATCCAAAGAAATGCAGTATAAAAAAAAAATATAATCATTATAACATTTAAAAACTTGAAATTTTATTAATAAATTTTCGGACAAAACAAATATTAAAAAAAAAAATATATATATATTTAAAACCTACAAAATTTATTTGTTTATACAATTTGTGCATATAATTAAAATTTTATCGTATCACGTGTAGAGTTCGTTTAAAAATGATTTTATTTCAATATAATATACAGGGTGGTCACGGGTTTTAGTTTATCAATTTCCCTGGCCCAAAACTTTTTTTTTTGGATACTAATTTTCAAAATATTCGTTATTTATAATCGAGTGTAATAAAGTAAGTCTGTTTATAAGTTTTCCACAATAAGTTTATTTCAAGTAAATTTTTACTTACTTTCTAAATTTAAACACTAATTCGATTTGGTGGCTGACTTTTCTTTTGAATGGGTAAAATTTGCCAATAAATAATCCTTTCTACTAATTTAGTGAAGTTTGCTAGTTGGAAGGCAGGAAGTCGGTAACTAATTAAAATTAACAAATATTTTTTCACTGATTGATATTTGGAGAGTACTTATAAACAATTTTTAATTTCTACATACATACAATAGTTATTTATAAACAACTTTAAATACAATTTATTGATAAAATATTAGAAACATAAGAACATAGATTTAGGAAACATCAATCAAAATTATCTTCTACAATTTTAAACTAAATTTCATCTGTGAATCAATAAATTTAAATAATTTTCTAAAAAAGATTCTTCTAGAATTCGATTAAAATACAAAAACTCAATTTTATTAATTGTAACTCTCTATTATCTTTTAAGATAATATATTTTCAGAAAATTATAAAGAAGTTCTTACAATTGATTTTTTTTTGGAAACATTTCTAAATAATCCTTAAAAGGGGATAATAGTTCTTCAATTTTGGAAAATTTCCAAACAATCAAAATTTTGTAAGAACTTAAAGAATAATTGAATTAAAAAAAAATAATATTCTTTCGTCCTACGTGGGAACTACTTTTCTTTTCCTATTTTCTTTTAATATCAAAAGTGTTGGCAAATATTGGAATATTTTTCTGACTTCATATTTTATATTTAAATGCTATTCTCTATATTTAAATTATATTCCAAATTTTCATTACTTCTATACTTTACATTTTACTACGTTTGCTTTCAATCTTTAAATAATTTTAAAATGAAATTATTTTGTTTCAAAACTTAGCCTTAATTTTAACGTCTCTTGTTAAGAATCTTCATTTAAGTTTTCAAATAATATTTGTAATATTTGAATTTTTTTTCCTGTTTAAACAATTTTAAAACATTTGAATATTTTTGCAATATTTATACAAATTTTCCCTCAAAATATTTAAATAAATTTCTCTGAATATATGAATATTTTTTTTTCTCCTTTCTCGAAATCAAAATATTATTCGCTTATAATTTAATAAACTTCTAGATAAATAAAAGAATTTTTCAACGAAATAATTTTTTGTAAAAAAAAAATCTTTTTATATTATATATACTATCTGGAGGTCAGGAAAATAACGATTAAAAATTTGTAGCAACCCCGAATTGTAATTAAAAACCTTACTCACCCTCGAGTGGAATTCAATGCTCCTAGAATGCAAAAGGATTGAAGGGCGGCGTTGTACTTTAGTAGGCGAATCACTGCAGGGAGTGGAGGGCCTCGTTGGGCCCATTCCTCTTTCCTGCAGATTTTCTCCTCCGAGCCGGTACCGGAATGCGGGGTATCATCACCGCAAGCCGCATCTTCCCCTGCGATTTCCCCATCAAGATTATCCGGCACCCAGATACGTTTCATAAACCTCCCTCTCCTGAGTTTTTGGTCCTCCTCCGGGTAAATCCTGAAAAACTCTCGAACTCTCCAAAGAGTGTCCAAATAATCCTCCAGATCAGCGGGTTCTGATGCTGAATCAGAAAAGGCCGTGAGGGTATGGAATTCCTCCCTGCCGCCCTTGTCGAAATCTGGTAGGGACATCACAAATAAAAAAGGGAATCACTTTGCACCACTTTTTTCTTTTTTTCCTCTCTTCCTCACACAAACACTAAGCGCCCGGACGACAAAGAAACTTTTTTTTTTTCACTTATTGCACCAACCTACTCCGATATCAGCGACAATGAGACTGGAACCGATATCCCGCGTCCCCGGGGACTTGATCATGTGACCATAACTCTACGCAGTATGCTGGGTTGCCACATGTGATGTATGGCGAGTCAAATGCTACGCTAAATGAACTGTGATAATCTAAGTAAGCTTTGCGCTCGATGATTAATTAAAATAAAAAGGGAAGACTGTAAAGGAAGGGTTCTAGGTTGGGGCTGATTTTCGGTATTAAAACGAACCATGCCGATGTGATGCCGAGGTCGGCACTAGATCTGTGCCTTTCTATTTACAGTAAAGAACACCTGGAAAATAATTTTGTTAAATTATATTAACTTCGGACGAATTTTACCATGAGGAAGTTTCTCTTGTCTTTTTTGTACTCCCTAAGACGGAATTGGTCTGTTGGAGAAAACTGAGATTCCAAATATTCGTGATTGAAAATTCCGGTGACTATTGATTGGATGATCGGCGAAAATTGACTTGACCGGAAATTCTATGTCAAACCGGGAACTTTCATCAAATTACACAAAGGCGAGAATTCTTATTTAGTTTGTTAAAAAAGGGGGGTCATTCAAGTGACAGAATTTTGTGAAATTCATCGGAAAATAATTAAATTGGTTAAAGAATTTAATTTAAGAAACTTTCTAACAAACGCAGAATTTTCAAAGTTCGTTAACTTATTAATTGATAAATAACCGAATTAAAATAAAGGACACATTCTAAGATATTCACGTTCCTTAGTTCGAAATTACAATTACAATTTTATTAAAAAAAAAAAATTTTATATATATATAATAAACACATGCTTAAAACTTTGAATAAAATTGAATTCAAATTTTGCAATATTTTGTCCACAAAGATACAAAGGACAAGATTAGTCTCTACAAATTCAAGGGAATTCTTTGTTTAATTTGGGATAGATGTGCCGTTTGTAACCACTGTACAGTTGTGGCTATTTTTTTTTATTAAAGTCAATATTACAAAACTATTCTGAACTTACGAGTGGATTATAGATATATTTATAGAATTCCGAAATAAGTAGACGACACTCTGTTATCTTAAAAAAAAAGGGATAAATATAATAATCAGGAAATCTAGTGCTTTAATAAATTTATTTTCTTAATGACAAAGACGAACCGTTTAAAGTGGCCACAACTAGTATTCTACCCTGATTATTTTCGGGAAATTGATCTTTTGTAAATAACAGGTTAAAATAATCAAGTCCCAATGAGAATTTTGCTATCCAAATAAGTTGATTTGGATAAAATTAACAATTTCTTAATTGGAATTCGAGCATTTTTCTTTGAAATCTATTGAACCATTAGAGAGAGAGAGGGAATTCTTCTTCCTTAATATGCGAATGGAAATATTCATACAACAAATGAAGAGAGACATATGTGTTGCAGCTACGTTAGAATTGTTGAATTTTGGGGACAAAATTACGGAATTTTCGCGGTGGATTGTAATATACTTTCCGGCTTGATCTGGCAACACCGTTTAAATAATTATTTTCAAAATTATTTCCAGCATCAAGGCTTGCTACCACATAGCAGGGCCTTGATGTTGGACACCCGACACCCTGATAAGCCTGACTCTGTCAGCAAAATATTTCTCTACCGAGCTCACGAAAGAGCCAACTAAAATAATATATCAATTAATTGTTCAAAAAAAAAAATTACTCTCTTAAAGCAATGAATTGGAAACAACATCGCTGCTGTAATAAAATAAGCAACGTTGCAGCAATGTTGCGAAGCCATACGGCGATAAACATCATTGTTGCAATAATAATAAACAACATTGTTGTAATGGTAGGGAGGAAGAGTTTCTTCTCCTTCTTTCTTTTCTCTTTCGGCAGCGCTGCAAGAATTTTAAATCATGATGGAAGACGCATCAAGAAAATGCGCATATGTGTAGACGGTGACGCACACGGGTTGGTACTTGCGGGACGAAGGTACCAATACCTTCACAGTTTTAAGAACTCGCACCATTGTAACTCTAGGCTATAGACATCAACACTCTCGCAGGTCTCCCTCCGCTACAAACTCACACGTACGCCTATACTCGCCTCTACTCCTTGCTTCTTGCTCAACGGAACCTTCCCTTTTCCCCCGGCCTACAAGTTGAATTGCTGCATCATAACAAACGCACGTGCGTTTGACTAATGGCCAATTGCTACCACAGGCCATAAGCTCAATAGCTGTATCCGTAAAGGGAAAGGGACAATTTTGAATATAAAATACACATTTCTCAAAAAAAAAAAATATATATATATATTTAAACAAATTGAGAAAACAACATCAACCACCATGGTATAATAAATTACCCTTTATTTGGTTATGGTGGTGTGAATATAGTTATTAACAATAGTTAAAAAAAAAATATAATAATTATTGATAATGGAATTATTATTCCAGAAAAGGATCAAGTTTACTCTTTCCCGTTCTCACGGAGCTACCGTGAGAATCAAAAAGATCAGCAAAACGCACTGACCAATGGGCCGCGAATCCTACTCCCTACCTTAGGACCCATTATCACCTAATCACCCCACCTTGGAAAGAAGCAAGGACTAGAGGCTAGTCAAAATCTTTTAATCTGAGCAGTACAACTTCTTGTTTCTCCTAAGTAACACCTCTACTGGTCTTGACCTGGCAAGGTGTGACGAGATCAAGAACGCCGCGACTAAGCCCGTCTGCGCGTCGGACCCCCGCGACAACTTCTAAAAGTAACGCGAAAGGCGGACGAAAAATTCTAATAGAATCTCTTAACCGACGGAGTCCTGCGAGGATTGTTTTTGAAAAGTTAGTTAATTAAGGTGCAAAACCGAAGTAAACCAACTTGTTCCCGTAACCGGTCAGCCCGTGCGTGTGGCACCTGCACCGTTCAAAACCAACGGCCCGCGAAATTTTTCTCTGTAATTCTGCTAAGCGCATTCTGATAGTGCTGACGAAAGAATTTGAGAAAAGCTCTTTGCACCCAAAACTCAATGTATTAATTATCAAAAGTCACCCTCTAATAAAGAAAAGTGCTCGAATTTAAACGAACTATAATAACCTGATAATTAAGAGCTGTGTGTGTGCAACGACGAAATTGTTTCTGCCCGACGGCAACTGTGGTATCATCGCTACCGTCGGTAGTTGTAAGTAAAAGAATCTGTATCGTTCTAACGAATTATTATTATCCTTAATAAACTTTCTTAACTAACTCTGTCTCAACTATACTTACCTTTCACACCTACTTCAACTAAAACACAATAGAATCGTCAATTAAAGCGGTGCTTAACTTTTAAAAGTGGATAAACGAACCTACAATTTCAAACAAATTCCCAAGGGAATTTGGCAGCTTGGTGCCTCCCCAAATTCAGAAATAATAAGGGCCATCTCAAAAGCCCAAACAAAAGAAAGAAATTTTTTTTTTATTTTCCGGTTTGTAACAAGCTGATTAGTCATAAAATATTTTCAATAGAAAAATATTCTTGGAAAAGTACTTATCCTATATAAATCTAAAATATTTCAAAATAGCTTTGCAAAGAATTGTTTTACTAATTATTTTTATTTTTTTATGTCAAAAGTCCACTTGAACGACAAGCAGCTTCTGCATTTTCTGCTCGGAATAGTCATAAAATATTTTTAGTAGAAAAATCTTCTTGGAAAAGTACTTATCCTATAAAAATCTAATAATTTTAAAAATACATTTAAAAAGAATTGTTTTACTAATTATTTTTATTTTTTTATGTCAAAAGTCCACTTGAACGACAAACAACATCTGCATTTTCTGCTCGGAATAGTCATAAAATATTTTCAGTAAAAAAATCTTCTTGGAAAAGTACTTATCCTATAAAAATCTATAAAATTTCAAAATAGCTTGCAAAAAATTTTTTTTTTTAAATAATTTTTTTTTTTGAGAAAAGTCTACTTGAACGACAAGCAATTTCTGCATATTCTGCTCGGAATAGTCATAAAATATTTTTAGTAGAAAAATCTTCTTGGAAAAGTACTTATCCTATAAAAATCTATAAAATTTCAAAATAGCTTGCAAAGAATTTTTTTTTTTAAATTAATATATTTTTTTAAGAGAAAAGTACACATGAACGACAAGGAACTTCTGCATTTTCTGATCGGATTAATCATAAAATATTTTCAATAGAAAAATCTTCTTGGAAAAGTACTTATCCTATAAAAATCTAAAATATTTCAAAATAGCTTTGCAAAGAATTGCTTTACTAATTATTTTTATTTTTTTATGTCAAAAGTCTACTTGATCGACAAACAACTTCTGCAATTTCTGCTCGGAATAGTCATAAAATATTTTCAGTAGAAAAATCTTCTTGGAAAAGTACTTATCCTATAAAAATCTAATAATTTTAAAAATACATTTAAAAATAATTGTTTTACTAATTATTTTTATTTTTTTATGTCAAAAGTCCACTTGAACGACAAACAACATCTGCATTTTCTGCTCGGAATAGTCATAAAATATTTTCAGTAAAAAAATCTTCTTGGAAAAGTACTTATACTATAAAAATCAAATAAATTTAAAAATAACTTTGCAAAGATATATAAAAATCTATAAATCTATAAAAATCTAAAATATTTCAAAATAGCTTTGCAAAGAATTGTTTTACTAATTATTTTTATTTTTTTATGTCAAAAGTCTACTTGAACGACAAGCAACTTCTGCATTTTCTGCTCGGATTAGTCATAAAATATTTTCAGTAAAAAGTCTTCTTGGAAAAGTACTTATCCTATAAAAATCTAACAAATTTAAAAACACTTTTGAAAAGAATTGTTTTACTAATTATTTTTATTTTTTTATGTCAAAAGTCCACTTGAACGACAAGCAACTTCTGCATTTTCTGCTCGGATTAGTCATAAAATATTTTCAATAGAAAAATATTCTTGGAAAAGTACTTATCCTATATAAATCTAAAATATTTCAAAATAGCTTTGCAAAGAATTGTTTTACTAATTATTTTTATTTTTTTATGTCAAAAGTCCACTTGAACGACAAGCAGCTTCTGCATTTTCTGCTCGGAATAGTCATAAAATATTTTTAGTAGAAAAATCTTCTTGGAAAAGTACTTATCCTATAAAAATCTAATAATTTTAAAAATACATTTAAAAAGAATTGTTTTACTAATTATTTTTATTTTTTTATGTCAAAAGTCCACTTGAACGACAAGCAACTTCTGCATTTTCTGCTCGGAATAGTCATAAAATATTTTCAGTAGAAAAATCTTCTTGGAAAAGTACTTATCCCATAAAAATCTAATAGTTTTAAAAATACATTTAAAAAGAATTGTTTTACTAATTATTTTTATTTTTTTATGTCAAAAGTCCACTTGAACGACAAACAACTTCTGAATTTTCTGCTCGGAATAGTCATAAAATATTTTCAGTAGAAAAATCTTCTTGGAAAAGTACTTATCCTATAAAAATCTAATAATTTTAAAAATACATTTAAAAAGAATTGTTTTACTAATTATTTTTATTTTTTTATGTCAAAAGTCCACTTGAACGACAAACAACATCTGCATTTTCTGCTCGGAATAGTCATAAAATATTTTCAGTAAAAAAATCTTCTTGGAAAAGTACTTATCCTATAAAAATCAAATAAATTTAAAAATAACTTTGCAAAGAATTTTTTTTTTAAATAATATTTTTTTTGAGAAAAGTCCACTTGAACGACAAGCAACTTTTGCATTTTCTGCTCGGATTAGTCATAAAATATTTTCAATAGAAAAATATTCTTGGAAAAGTACTTATCCTATATAAATCTAAAATATTTCAAAATAGCTTTGCAAAGAATTGTTTTACTAATTATTTTTATTTTTTTATGTCAAAAGTCCACTTGAACGACAAGCAACTTTTGCATTTTCTGCTCGGAATAGTCATAAAATATTTTTAGTAGAAAAATCTTCTTGGAAAAGTACTTATCCTATAAAAATCTAATAAATTTCAAAATGGCTTTCAAAGAATTTTGTTAATAATTAATTTCATTTTTTATGACAAAAGTCTACTTGAACGACAAGGAACTTCTGTAGTTTCTGCTCGGAATAGTCATAAATTATTTTCAGTAGAAAAATCTTCTTGGAAAAATACTTATCCTATAAAAATCTAATAAATTTCAAAATAGCCTGCAAAGAATTTTTTTTTAAATAAATATATTTTTTTAAGAAAAAAGAACACTTGAACGACAAGGAACTTCTGCATTTTCAGATCGGATTAATCATAAAATATTTTTAATAGAGAAATCTTCTTGGAAAAGTACTTATCCTATAAAAATCTAAAATATTTCAAAATAGCTTTGCAAAGAATTGTTTTACTAATTATTTTTATTTTTTTATGTCAAAAGTCCACTTGAACGACAAGCAACTTCTGCATTTTCTGCTCGGAATAGTCATAAAATATTTTCAGTAGAAAAATCTTCTTGGAAAAGTACTTATCCTATAAAAATCTAATAATTTTAAAAATACATTTAAAAAGAATTGTTTTACTAATTATTTTTATTTTTTTATGTCAAAAGTCCACTTGAACGACAAACAACATCTGCATTTTCTGCTCGGAATAGTCATAAAATATTTTCAGTAAAAAAATCTTCTTGGAAAAGTACTTATCCTATAAAAATCTAATAATTTTAAAAATACATTTAAAAAGAATTGTTTTACTAATTATTTTTATTTTTTTATGTCAAAAGTCCACTTGAACGACAAACAACATCTGCATTTTCTGCTCGGAATAGTCATAAAATATTTTCAGTAAAAAAATCTTCTTGGAAAAGTACTTATCTTATAAAAATCTATAAAATTTCAAAATAGCTTGCAAAGAATTTTTTTTTTAAATAATTTTTTTTTTTGAGAAAAGTCTACTTGAACGACAAGCAATTTCTGCATATTCTGCTCGGAATAGTCATAAAATATTTTTAGTAGAAAAATCTTCTTGGAAAAGTACTTATCCTATAAAAATCTATATAATTTCAAAATAGCTTGCAAAGAATTTTTTTTTAAATTAATATATTTTTTTAAGAGAAAAGTACACATGAACGACAAGGAACTTCTGCATTTTCTGATCGGATTAATCATAAAATATTTTTAATAGAAAAATCTTCTTGGAAAAGTACTTATCCTACCTAAAAAAAGCATGAGCGAGAAGTCTCGAATTGAACAATTTCGACTCTCGAAATAGATCGAATGGTCGAATTAACTTATAGCATTGAACGTGTGAATAGAAGAAGGGAATGTGTGAATTGAAGTGCGCTTTTGACTCTAAAAGTGATATCACACGGCAACAACCTCATTTTTACTTTCTCTATATACTGTGTAGATGTCGCAAATCGGATAGATTTACGACGATAGTAAGATCACATATTAATGTTACGTTAATGTTTTTAGAGCGTCATCGCATGCATAAATGAAAAGTTTTCATTTGTGTTCTAAAATTCATTATTTACAAAAAATAAAAAGACAAACCTATTCGCCTTAGTGTGATTTTTAGTCATTTGTGAATAGTCTTAATTTTTTTTTGTGATAAAAAGTTTTACTGAGGTGTAATTTTTTATATATACAAGAAAAAATTTGATAGTTGTGCATTGTGAATATATATATATATACATATTTTTTTATGTATATATTTTATATTTAAAGAAAGGATTGATTTGTTATTATATTAGTCAATGCAATAAATTATTAGTATAGTTTATGTGTAATAAATTATTGTATTATTAATATATTGTGAAAATATTATTTTGATTGTTGTAAAAACAGTAAAATAAGAAGTACTTTAACCTCTTCTTACATCTTTTATCTAAGAGATTGACAAGATTTAAGACAAGTTTAAAAAATAATATCGAGTCTTAAAAAACTAGGTTAAAAAGATTCAAAAAAATTAACAAGTTTAAAAAGATTCAAAAGATTAACAAGTTTAAAAAGATTCAAAAGATTAACAAGTTTAAAAAGATTCAAAAGATTAACAAGTTTAAAAAGATTCAAAAGATTAACAAGGTTAAAAAGATTCAAAAGATTAACAAGGTTAAAAAGATTCAAAAGATTAACAAAGTTTAAAGCGAAACAAATAACTGGGATATATATACAATAAAAGATATAAATTAAGATAACATAAAAGTATACAGCATTTAATAACTTTTAGAGTAATAATAATAATAAGATAAAAATATATAAATTGAGACGTCGTAGATAAAAACTGTATTTAATAAGATAATAATGTAATATAAAAAAATTAAGATAAAATAAAAAAATTAAGATAAAATCGGAAAATTCAGTAATTTTATTTTTCTAACAAAAAAAAATATGGAAAAAAATCAAAAAATACACACAAAAGAGTAGCACGAGAATGTGTGAATCGCACAGTAAGTAATCTTCCTGGAACTGTTGAAATAAAAAAGAAAAAATATATGTTTGAACATGATATTAAATCAACACTTCCTTTCAAAGTAGTTTTAAATAACATCAGATCCGAAGTAGATAATGAAGTTCCTCATAAATCGACAATTTTTTCAGACAAACTTTTACAAGACCATAGTTATAGCAATACCTTAAAAAATTATGATAGTGCTTCTAATTTAAATTATGAATTTTCGACAGTACATGATCACAGTTATTTTGATACTGTACAGAGTCAAAGCAATTCAGCTCGAACAAATACTGTGATTATCAATGACGACAATATAGGAGATAATTTAAATCATGAACTTTCGATCGTACATGATCATAGTTATTTTGATACTGCACAGAACCAAAGCAATTTAATTAGAACACATACTGTGATTATCAATGACGATAATATAGGAGATGATTGTAACAATATTTCTGAGCATTATCTCGGACTTATGGACGTGTCATGCATTCACTGTAGAGCTAAACATTTCAGTGCAGAAAGAGTAAGTAATAAAGGAAATTCATTTCATGATTGCTGCAGTCATGGCCAAGTAGTCTCAGATCCATTACCAGATCCACCAGAAATTTTGAAACAATTATTTGATGGTACTCATGCTTTGTCAAATGATTTTTTGGATAAAACTCGTAGCATTAATAGTTTATTTTCCTTGGCATCGTTTAATGCTAACTTGGTTCAATTTAATAACAGACGACCAGGGCCATTTTGTTGTAAAATCCAAGGTCAAATTTATTATCAGGTTAAAACAGCTTTATATCCTGCTAATAATGAGTTACCAAGTTTCGGTCAACTTTTCATAATTGACACTAATGAAGCAACGGATGTGCGACTAAAAATGAATTCTACATTAAATTCAGAGATTTTGACTGCTATTCATAATGTAATGCAACAAAACAATGTTTTCGTGCAATCATATCAAATGATGAAAGAAGAACTAGACTTAATGACATCTGAGAACAATGGCACTGAACCTGAGTTAGAATTGTTATTTACATTAAAAAAGGGCATGACAAAAGGCGTTATAATTTTCAAAGAGTTAATGAGGTTGCAGCTATTTTTTCTACCACAGCAGACGGTGAAATTCCAGAATCTTATGTTACCATACGTAATAGAAATACGAAAGAATTACAATATGTTAGTTCAATGGATCCTAATGTCGAACCATGGACATATCCTTTATTCTACCCTTATGGAACTAGAGGCTGGTTTGATGGAATGACATTGGTTGGTAGCGGTCGTAGATTGAGCAGAAACGCTTATACAAAGTATCGAATGGCTATTCGAGATAAGCCAAATTATATCTTAATGGGACGTCTTTTTTTTCAGCAATGGACAGTTGATCAAAGTGTTAAAGCTGAAAAAGATAAATTGGAATTTTTAAGAAACAATCAAAAAAAATTAAGAGCTGACACATATTCAAGTCTTTTATCACATTTAGAAAAAAGCGCACAAGAAACAAATAGTCGCGTTGGAAATGTTATTATTCTTCCATCAACTTTTCTCGGATCACCAAGAAATATGCTACAAAATTATCAAGATGCGATGACTATTGTACGCAAATTTGGTAAACCTGATTTATTTATCACAATGACATGCAACCCAAAGTGGAAAGAAATTACGGAAAATCTTTTAAGTGGACAAACTGCTTCAGACAGGCCAGATATAGTAGCACGCGTCTTCGAATTGAAAAAGGAAGAGTTGGTTAAAATAATTGTTAAAGAGAAATTGTTTGGTGAAGTTCAAGCCTACGTTTATGTAGTCGAATATCAAAAACGTGGACTACCACATGTTCATATGCTGCTAACATTAAAACCAAATAGTAAAATTAGAACACCTGACATTGTAGATAAATATATATCGGCTGAAATTCCGCATCCTGAAGAAAATTTAAAATTGCATGAAATAGTTAAAGCCAATATGGTTCATGGTCCTTGCGGAGATTGGTGTTTAGATAAAAATGGTAAATGCTCTAAAAATTATCCACGACAGTTTAATGATCAGACGAATATGGATGAAGATGGATATCCACTGTACAGACGTCGAAATACTGAATCTTACAATCGACGCAATGGATTTGAATTCAATAATCAACGAATTGTACCTCACAATAAAAAGCTTTTATTGTTATTAAATTGTCATATCAATGTTGAAGTTGTTGCGAGTATTAAAGCAGTAAAGTACCTTTTTAAATATATATATCAGGGGCACGATTCTGCTGCTGTTGTGATTCAAAAAGTACAAAGCAATGAGAATCAGGAAACAAGAGTGCTTGATCATGATGAAATTAAAAATTACATTGAAACTCGATACATTAGTCCACCCGAGGCCTGTGGTCGTATATTAAGCAATAAATTGCATGATAAAAGTCATTCAGTTTGTCGTCTTCCTGTTCACTTACCAAATCAACAAACTATTGTAGTTCAAGATGTTGATGACCCAGACGCACTTAGATCTGCGCTGAATCGTAAAACAGAACTTGAGGCATATTTTGCCTTGAATGAACGTGACCCATCAGCAAGAAATTATACTTATTCTGAAATTCCGTTACATTATGTATTTTTCAAAAATAAGAATTCACCTAATGCTTTTACATGGCAAAAGCGCAAAAAGCATTTTAATATGTTAGGTCGCATGTATTCAGTGAGTCCAGCACAACCAGAATTATTTCATTTGAGATTATTGTTAATAACAGTAAAAGGAGCTACAAGTTATGAACATTTAAGAACAGTTGACGGTGTCCTGCATGATAGTTTTGTTTCTACGTGTTTATCACTAGGTTTGATTGAAGACGATAATGAGTGGAAAAATGCCATGCATGAAGCAGAAGTTTGGATGATGCCTAGACAATTAAGACAGTTGTTTGTAAGAATTTTAATCCATTGTCAACCTGTACATCCAGAAGAATTGTGGGAAGAATTTAAAGATGCACTTTCTCAAGACTATTCAAGAACTATGTCTGAAAACCTAGCACATAAAAAAGCATACATTCAAATAAATACATTGTTAATTAATGAAAATTCAAGTATTGCAGCTTTTCCTTCAATGGTACAAATAACTGAAACTGAAGAAGACATTGAAAATGAAATATTGATTGAACAACATCAAACTATTGGCACTCAACAGTACCAAAAGTTAAATGAGAAGCAAAAACAAATTGTAGATATAGTTTTAGAAACATTAAATGCTGAACAAGAAAATGAAAATCATCATCGATGCTTTTTTATTGATGGGCCGGGTGGATCTGGAAAAACATTTGTTTATACCACGTTATATCACTTATTACGAAGTAAAGGAACACAAGTTTGCACTATGGCTTTTACTGGAATTGCAGCTACCTTATTGCCTCATGGTAAAACTGTCCACAAAACTTTTAAGTTACCAATTGCAATTTACAAAGATTCATCTCTAACTATTAAAGCACAATCCAAGGAAGCATTATATTTAAAAAATATAGATGTATTTTTTTGGGATGAAGCACCAATGGCTCCAAGACATGTTTTAAATTTAGTAGATCTTAATTTAAGAGATATAATGAATAATGATAAACCATTTGGAGGAAAGATAATGATACTCGGAGGCGATTTTCGACAACTACTACCGGTTAAGCAGAATGCTATTCGCAGCGAATTGGTAAATTTATGCATTAAGTTTAGTTCTTTGTGGTCTAATTTCTTTCAATTTTCTCTAACTGAAAATATGCGCGCATTACCACATGAAAAAAAATTTTCAAAATTTTTATTACAAGTTGGAAATGGAACAGCTAATCATAATGAAAATGATTTATTATTACCAGAAGATTGTATTGCTCCACCTGGTATAGATATTGCAGAAGATATTTATGGAAGTGTAATTAGGAACAAACAATTTGAGAAATTGACAAAAATGGCAATTATATCAGCTCGAAACGTTGACGTAGATGATATTAATAAATCTGTAGTTGAATTATTAGACGCTTCAACCGAAAAAATTTATACAAGTATTAATACAGTAAAAAACTATGATAACGATGAAATGGGAGTAGTTCTCTTACCAGAATATTTAGAAACATTAAATCCACCAAATTTACCGCCACATGAATTAAGATTAAGAGTTAATACTGTCGTTATGTTAATTAGAAATCTTTCTATTAATGAAGGATTATGCAATGGCACACGGCTTCAAATTTTAGAATTACAAAATCATTTATTAAAATGTAAAATTTTAACTGGCGATAAATTTGGACAAATTGTTTTCATTAACCGAATAACTTTATATAGCGATGATCGGTACCCTTTTCAGTTTGGACGTAGACAATTTCCAATTAAAATTGCTTTTGCAATGACAATTAACAAATCACAGGGCCAAACTTTTGATAGAATTGGCATAGATCTCAGACGAGACGTTTTTAATCATGGACAATTTTATGTTGCATTCTCTCGTGTTCGTTCGTGGGGTTCTCTTAGAATATATCTGAATGATCAACGTGATTCAAATTATGTTAAAAATTTTGTTTTTAAAGAAATTTATCATTCTTAAATTAAATAGATAGAAAGATATCTAATTTCTAAACAAAATTTTGACTTTTTCCCTGACGCCAAGGAACATTCTGATTCAAATACTAAAAATGATCAGATACCAAACAAATGCTCTATTACATTTATTTACGAACTACTTTAATTTTAAAATTATTCGGAAACATCAATAACTTCTTTTATAAATAAAATTTAATCATTCTTATTTTTTCATAGGAATTAAAATTTTCTAAAATTTCTAATTCAATTACTCATAAGAATATTATTATAAAAAAATTTCCTTTTAATTTATAAGAATTAAAGATTATTCAGAAATTCTGCAATTAAATATATATTATTAGAAAATAAAAAATTCAAATAATTTTTTTTTTAAATTTAATATTAAATTAAAACTATTAAAAAAAATAATTCTACAGAATTGTTATAGTTAAAAGTATATGGAAAATTCAAGTTTCAAAAAATTTTACTTTGAAACCTTTTTAAAATTCAATTATTTTTTTATAAAGTTTATAATTTATTAAATAATTGAGCGTTACTTAAAATTTTTTAAAATAAAATTTCAAGTTTGAAAGTAAAATTTTTTTATTAATTCAATTTCTACGAAGAATTACATTACTTTCGAAAATAATTGAATTTCTGCAATCATTTGTAACTTCACGAAAATTTAATTTTTTGGTGTTTTTAACTAAAATTCTTCTATAAATCTATTAGTTTTAATAATCCTACCTATGAGCCACGCTTTTACTTATTTTAAATTCCCTGACTTTTCCAGGATTTCCAGGTTAAAAAACGGAATTTTTCCAGGTTTTTAAAACTACATTTATATTTGACAAAATTTTTAATTCTAACCATTTTGAAATTAAACAACTTATAAAAAATTGTTATAAACAGTTATAAAACAAAACATGAAAGTATCGAAGCAATCGATGTCTTCATGTTTTATAATAATTAAAAATGTTGGACTGATAAAATCATCATTTTATACCTATTATAAGAATATTGTAACTGTAATTTATTCAAAATTACATTTATTATTTTAATTTAATTATTGTTTTCCAGAATTTTTAAACTAAAATTCTTCTTTAAATTAATTATTATTAATATTTTCTGAAAAATTTCTTTCAACATTTTTAAATCTTTTTGTATACAATTCAATTTTACGAAACATCGATTATTCAGGTATTCGGAAATTCTTCAATCAAATATTATATACGAAAATAAAAACTTGAAATAACTTCAAAAAAATTCAATTCAACTTTTACAAAAAAATTAAATCTACACAATTTTAAGTTAAAAGTATGAAAAATTCAAACATTGAAAGATTATTATTGTTGATTTGAGACCTGCTTTTTAAAACACAATTATTATCTAAAGTTTTAACCGAAATTCATATATGAATCAATTATTACTAGAAAATTCTACGAAATTTCAATTATTTAAATACAATAAAAAAATTATTTATTGAAGAATTGAATGTTTTTAAAATTCAACTCTTATTTAAAGAATTTTTATCAACAAATTTTTAAATGGTTAATTAAAATTCTTTTGACGAATTTCAATAAAATTTTTAAGAACAATTTCATTTTTCGAGAAATTATCATTTTATAATTGAAATTTTGACTATAACTTTTATTGAAAGAATTTTTCATTAAAATTGTTGAAAATAATTGAATTTTGGAGAAAAATTTTAATATTTTTTTATAAAGATAATTGAAATTTTGACGATAAATTTTTTAAACCTTTGACGATAATTGGATTTTTACGAAGAATTTTATTACTTTTGAAAATAATTGAATTTCTTTGATGAATTTGAATAAAATTGTTAAGAATAATTATACATTTTTTGACAAACTCCATTAAAATTGTATTAAAAATAATTAAAATTTTGTGATGAGTTTTATTATTTATGAAAATAAAAATCTATAATTTTTTTTATTATTTATGAAAATAATTGAATTACTGCGAAGAAAAATTGTAAAGGCAACTCTTTAAAAATTGAATTAAAGAAAAATTAAATTTCAAGAATAAGCACAATAATTTAAGAAAACAATAATTGTCCACCCAGTAAACAAAAACTAATTGAAGTAAATTAAAAAGAATTCACAAAGAGTTTCAGTGAATCCCGCTTTGTGACAAATATGAATTGGAGCTATGTAGCAATTTTCCTGAATTCGTCAAACTGTATTGAACTTCCAAACCTTCTATTCATTCTAATTCAATGGACAAGTTTTGGGGCCTTTAATTTTTTTCAATTCGTCAGCACGAATTCAATGCATGCCTTGGTCATTTCTTACGAATGCGAATTCGTTTGCACAACTTCAGGCAAATTGAATTGAATTCAATCGAATATACAAACAGCTTGAATGAATCCCGCTCTCTACCAAAAATCTTAATTCATTTCAATCCGTTTGAATTAGTTTTTTTCTATTGGGCAGACTTCCCTGACTTTTCCAGGTTTTTTCAAAGTTTATAAAAATTCCCTGACATTTCCAGGTTTTCCAGGTTGCGTGGCAACCCTGAATAATAAATGGAATAAAATATGTTCAAAATATAAAAAAAATGTTAATTAGGCTCAATAAAAAATCTTTTAAGTAAACAATTTTTGAATTGAATCAAGGTAATCGTAAACGTAATCTTAAAAACTTAAAGAACTGTGGCTCAATTCTTTTTCTCATACAATATTAATTATAATAGAATAGAAAGAAATTTTAATTCTTCAAATTAAAAAAAAGAATTTCAATTTAAAAACAAAAAAATCTTTAAAGTTTGAAAACTAAATTTTATATTAATATTTTATTTGAAATAAATAATAAATCTTTAGGATATATATATTAAACATTGCAAACATTGTTTTATTACGTATTTAAATATAAATTTTATTACGTTTTTACAGTTCAGTATTCGGTTGTTAGCTTTACATTTAACTTAAGTTAGCGGCTTAGTATACACTCGTAATACCTTCTGGCAACATTATTACATTAAGTCTGGTTTTAGTCTCTAAATCAGTCTTGAATTTTCCTATTATTATAAAGTAGAACTGTTTAATACTTTTACTTTATTTGATAAGTCTTAAAAATTTTTTAATCTTAAACAATAATTTTTCATTTAAATATTAATAATAACTTGAAATAAGAACAGCCTTTGGTTTCTTATTTTAATATCACAACTCACGTCCTTTAACTAAGAATATAACCTTTTTTAAGAATACTTTCTATTTAAGTTGCGCTTTAAACCAAAATCAATGAACATTAATTTTTTTTTCGGTAAAATTTACATTCGTTAAAATCATTAAATTTTCATTCGAAATCAGTAAAAAAAGTATAGTCGTACTTTTCAATAATTAATAAAAAATTTTAAAAAAGAGTTATTTTGAAATGATGTTTAATTTTACAACAACAATTTATATTCACAATATAAATTGAGTAAGGCAAATTACTTGAAAATTAGTAATTTTCATTGATTCAGATTTAGGTAATAGATCAAGCATGATCAAAGGCAAAAATCGCGAAAAATAAACTATAATTATTTTTTTCTCTTTAAAAGAGACAGGCAAGTAGAAAAGTTTTAAATTATAAAAAGAAAATTAGAAAAGGAAAGAATATTTAGAAAATCGAAATTGGAATGAAAAACAAACAAAGTTTAAAAAAGATAGAAAATGCGAGGTAGCTGCAAATTCACCGCTTTTTTGGCAACGGAGGGAAATTTTTGTCCGTTTTGGCCAGTTTCTGAAATGAAAATAAAAATAAAATTAAAAATTGCTTAAAATTCTCTTATAACTACAGGCTTCGCACTCAATAACTAATTTTAAAAAAGTATTTTTAAGACTGAAAAATTAGGAATGGAAAAATTAAATTTGACGACAAAAGAAACTCTTTTTGGTTAATTCCTAAAACTTGTTTTTCTTATTCTATTAATAAATTTAATTCTAAATTTTTCTGATATCGAATTTTCTCCATACCTTTAATTAACTTTTTCGTAGTATTTTTTAAATAACATTATTCAAAAGTTTCATCATTAATCAAGAAAATAGTAAATTAATAATTTTCTAAGACTTACATTTGGTGATTCCGCATTATCTTTTGGATCTTCGAGTTTGCGACGAGATATATCCTGACCTTGATCAAAAGTTTGATTTGTACTGTTAGAACATGAAGCATTTGCAGCATCAGCTGGTTGAAAAGTTGACAATTTTTCATTTTGGAAAGTTTCAGTAGTTGACGGATTTGCTGCAGGTTGTGAAACTGACGAAAATTGTGGTGGATCATTTGCTTGATGAGTTTTAGTTTTGCTATTCAAGTTCGGAGGTGGCACATCTGGTTCTGTTCCAATTGGTGGAGATAAAAATCCAGCGTCCAAATCATCTTCGGTTGCAATTTCGTCATCCACTAATTCGATGTCCTCCATCCTTGCTACTTGTATGATCAAATTTTCTCCACTCTCTCATACTCCCTTTTACACGTACATGCTTCCCTTCGTCGAAAACATTTTCCTTAAATGTCGTAACATTTATTATTAATTTATAATGAAAGTCCGTCATTAAGCCACATCCATAAGAAAAGTTATTATGAATAACATTTTCAATTTCAAGTTTAATGAACCCTTCAATACCTGAAAAATATAAAAATACATATAAAAATAAAAAATATGAGTAATTGTAAATAATTAGATAAGTATATTAAATGGTGTAAGCATGAATGGAACAAAATTCAAATCTAACTAATTTAAAAATAATAAAAATAAGTAAGTTTAAGTATCGTAATTAAATCTTCAATTTCTCTTCCATAATATAAAATAAAAATTTGAAATAAATAAATAACAAAAAACAATTATAAAAATAAAAAACAATAACATTAAAATAACAATGAAAAATAAAAAAATTAAGCGCCGTAATTTAATTGATAGATTATTTTGAATAATGTAAAATAAATAAAAATACAACAATGTAAATAACAATTAAAAATATAATTTCAAAATATGTAAAGTAAAATTTTTTTTAAAATAGAATATTTAAATAAAAAATTATGTCGTGTAAATGTGCTAAATAAAATATTCAAATATTAAGAAATTGTTTAAGTAATTTTTCACTAAATACACATTATAATTAGTAAAAATGAAAAAACAAATAAGTTTAAGTACCGTTATTTAATCTTTAAATTCTCTTCTATAATTAAAATATGAAATACAAATTAATAACATAATAAAAAAAACATAACATAATAAAATACATAATAATAAAATAAAAATAATAGCATAAAAAAATACAAGAAAAATAAAAAAACTTAAGTGCCGTATTTAATTTGTTAAATTATTTTGAATATAAAATAAATAAAAATACAACAATCAATTATACTTACACACACGTTTTTTAAGGTGTAGGCCAGCATTCCGTAGGGGAATTTCTTCGAAAAGTGCTTCAGGCTGCACCGGCACCAACGGTGGAACGTATTCCAAAATGTCAATTTTCGTCTGTTTTAGGATTGAAATTTCGACTATCACAATATCGCCCACTTTTCGGTATTGATCCTTTATGGCTAAAGCTTTGGCTCTCTTGATTTTAACAACCTGTAACAGAAACAAAAGTATTTTTCATTTACGTAATAAAAACTATATGTATATTTGTTTTTTATTTAACACTTACATTGTTAACGAGCTTTCCTGTGAACTCTGATGCCCTGTCCTTCCAGAATAAAAGCTTAAGTGTGCGGCCAGATAAGTTGTCCAAAACATAACGTACTGGTCTCAAAGAGTCATTGCTTTGATTGTTCCGATTATTTTGATTTTCATTTTGCGCGGATGATTTGACTTCTTCCATTTTTGTGATTAGTCCTGTTAATATTCTGTAACAATATTAAAAACAAAATATTTTAATAAATATAAAAATTATTTAAGGTTATGTTATTCAGTGTGACGATTTTTTTTTCTATAAATTCTATAATATCTATCTATCTATCTATATAATAATATAATAATAAAGTATATGGGGCATGTGACCAGTGGATAACATAACCTTAAAGAGGCAGTTCCAAAAAGTAGAAAAATGGCGCTAATGCACACAACATCGATGCATGGGGGAAGGAGAATTTTTGAAAAAAAAACGTTTGGTATTTTTTTAACGGCTTTCAAATTATGTACAGTACTTTTCAATTACGCCCTCATAGTTTGAACGTGTCGCACTCATGTATTCCCATGGAAATATATGAGTGCGACACGTTCAAACTTGAAAAATATAATTGAAAAAAAACTACTGTACAATATTTAGATTTTACTATTATATAAATATTTCACATTTAAATATATAATTAAAAACTTTCTTACATTGTTTGATCTCCTATTTTAAATGAGTCAATTTCTTCATTGCGGGTAAATTTATGTTTCTTGATGAGTGCTTCCATCGCAGATTCTTCCAGAGACTTTTGGCACAACCGAATATCACTGTAGTTGAAAGGGAAAAGAACGAACAGGAAGCGTGGACTAACGAAGAACGAACAAAGGAACAATCCCAAAGTCGTTCTAAAACAGGTTTACTAAATGTCCCATGCTTCCATGTCAGCGTGAAACGGAAAACGTTAAACCAATAAGAATTTTCTTTTAGATGATTTCCATTGAATCGGAGGTTGTTATTGTCTAAACGTTTTCCGTTTTCACGCTGATATGGGACTGGCCTTTAAAGTATAAAGGTGAATCCATAAAGGTACTTCCACAGCTCTTTTCGACAACTGCCTGCCTATCGACAGTCGTATAAACGTACCCTAATCTCAGATGTCATCCCAGTAAAAGAAATTCTCCAAAACTAATTTTTACGTCGACGAAAGAACGTTTTTGACTTGAAGTCAATTGTTGACATTTTGAGGGTACGTTTGGTTGGTTCCAGAATGAGCCAAAACGCAACGAAGACGCGACGCGTCCCAATGCTAATCAATGGGGACGCGTCGCGTCTGCGTCAAGTCCATTCTGGAACGACAAAGTATTTTTAAACTATTGTAAATACACCTTTACAGATTCATGTAAAGGCGATTTTGACTTTTTTTCTAAATTTCTTTTCTATCGACAGTCGTATTAAAATATGTACAGTAGTATTCAATAAGCATACAGAGCTCACAATAGGAACAAAATGTAAGTGGGGTAAACCAACGCGCATATTCGATGTAAAGAGTATAGAAGTTGTATATTGTAGAATTGTAGACTTAAGGCCTCGGCACAACTGCATGAGATAGAAAAGGACACAAATAGAGCTCTGTCGGTTTCTAAAGTCCAACGCACAATAGGTTCGCGAAAGTCGTTCGCGAACTAGACGCATGAGATAGAAAAAGACACAAATATATCACTGCCCTTTTCTAACTCATGCTTTGCGTTCGCGAACGACTTTCGCGAACCTATTGTGCTTAGGCCTTAACTCACGCTTTGCGTTTCCGAATGACGTTCATGAACGCAAAGTATGAGTTAGAAAAGGACAGAGATACATTTGTGTTCTTTTTTATCTCATGCGTCTCACTCGCGAACGACTTTCGCGAAATTATTGTGCGTTGGACTTTAAAATGAACATTTTGACAATAAGAGTTTGATAGGAGACGGCCGCTTGCGGCCGTCGACTTTGCTAGTCCTATAAAAATCTAAAATATTTCAAAATAGCTTTGCAAAGAATTGTTTTACTAATTATTTTTATTTTTTTATGTCAAAAGTCCACTTGAACGACAAGCAACTTCTGCATTTTCTGCTCGGAATAGTCATAAAATATTTTCAGTAGAAAAATCTTCTTGGAAAAGTACTTATCCCATAAAAATCTAATAATTTTAAAAATACATTTAAAAAGAATTGTTTTACTAATTATTTTTATTTTTTATGTCAAAAGTCCACTTGAACGACAAACAACTTCTGCATTTTCTGCTCGGAATAGTCATAAAATATTTTTAGTAAAAAAATCTTCTTGGAAAAGTACTTATCCTATAAAAATCTAATAAATTTCAAAATGGCTTTCAAAGAATTTTGTTAATAATTAATTTCATTTTTTATGACAAAAGTCTACTTGAACGACAAGGAACTTCTGCAGTTTCTGCTCGGAATAGTCATAAATTATTTTCAGTAGAAAAATCTTCTTGGAAAAATACTTATCCTATAAAAATCTAATAAATTTCAAAATAGCCTGCAAAGAATTTTTTTTAAATAAATATATTTTTTTAAGAGAAAAGTACACTTGAACGACAAGGATATTCTGCATTTTTAGATCGGATTATTCATAAAATATTTTTAATAGAGAAATCTTCTTGGAAAAGTATTTATCCTATAAAAATCTAAAATATTTCAAAATAGCTTTGCAAAGAATTGTTTTACTAATTATTTTTATTTTTTTATGTCAAAAGTCCACTTGAACGACAAGCAACTTCTGCATTTTCTGCTCGGAATAGTCATAAAATATTTTCAGTAGAAAAATCTTCTTGGAAAAGTACTTATCCTATAAAAATCTAATAATTTTAAAAATACATTTAAAAAGAATTGTTTTACTAATTATTTTTATTTTTTTATGTCAAAAGTCCACTTGAACGACAAACAACATCTGTATTTTCTGCTCGGAATAGTCATAAAATATTTTTAGTAAAAAAATCTTCTTGGAAAAGTACTTATCCTATAAAAATCAAATAAATTTAAAAATAACTTTGCAAAGAATTTTTTTTTTAAATAATATTTTTTTTGAGAAAAGTCCACTTGAACGACAAACAACTTCTGCATTTTCTGCTCGGAATAGTCGTAAAATATTTTCAGTAGAAAAGTCTTCTTGGAAAAGTTATTATCCTATAAAAATCTAACAAATTTAAAAACACTTTTGAAAAGAATTGTTTTACTAATTATTTTTATTTTTTTATGTCAAAAGTCCACTTGAACGACAAGCAACTTTTGCATTTTCTGCTCGGAATAGTCATAAAATATTTTCAGTAGAAAAATCTTCTTGGAAAAGTACTTATCCTATAAAAATCTAAAATATTTCAAAATGGCTTTCAAAGAATTTTGTTAATAATTAATTTAATTTTTTATGACAAAAGTCTACTTGAACGACAAGGAACTTCTGCAGTTTCTGCTCGGAATAGTCATAAATTATTTTCAGTAGAAAAATCTTCATGGAAAAATACTTATCCTATAAAAATCTAATAAATTTCAAAATAGCCTGCAAAGAATTTTTTTTTAAATAAATATATTTTTTTAAGAGAAAAGTACACTTGAACGACAAGGAACTTCTGCATTTTCAGATCGGATTATTCATAAAATATTTTCAATAGAGAAATCTTCTTGGAAAAGTACTTATCCTATAAAAATCTAAAATATTTCAAAATAGCTTTGCAAAGAATTGTTTTACTAATTATTTTTATTTTTTTATGTCAAAAGTCCACTTGAACGACAAGCAACTTCTGCATTTTCTGCTCGGAATAGTCATAAAATATTTTCAGTAGAAAAATCTTCTTGGAAAAGTACTTATCCTATAAAAATCTAAAATATTTCAAAATAGCTTTGCAAAGAATTGTTTTACTAATTATTTTTATTTTTTTATGTCAAAAGTCCACTTGAACGACAAGCAACTTCTGCATTTTCTGCTCGGAATAGTCATAAAATATTTTCAGTAGAAAAATCTTCTTGGAAAAGTACTTATCCTATAAAAATCTAAAATATTTCAAAATAGCTTTGCAAATAATTGTTTTACTAATTATTTTTACATTTTTATGTCAAAAGTCCACTTGAACGACAAGCAACTTCTGCATTTTCTGCTCGGAATAGTCATAAAATATTTTCAGTAGAAAAATCTTTTTGGAAAAGTACTTATCCTATAGAAATCTAATAAATTTCTAAATATCTTTGCAAAGAATTGTTTTACTAATTATTTTTAATTTTTTATGTCAAAAGTCAACTTGAACGACAAGCAACTTCTGCATTTTCTGCTCGGAATAGTCATAAAATATTTTTAGTAGAAAAATCTTCTTGGAAAAGTACTTATCCTATAAAAATCTAATAAATTTCAAAATGGCTTTCAAAGAATTTTGTTAATAATTAATTTCATTTTTTATGACAAAAGTCTACTTGAACGACAAGGAACTTCTGCAGTTTCTGCTCGGAATAGTCATAAATTATTTTCAGTAGAAAAATCTTCATGGAAAAATACTTATCCTATAAAAATCTAATAAATTTCAAAATAGCCTGCAAAGAATTTTTTTTTAAATAAATATATTTTTTTAAGAGAAAAGTACACTTGAACGACAAGGAACTTCTGCATTTTCAGATCGGATTATTCATAAAATATTTTTAATAGAGAAATCTTCTTGGAAAAGTACTTATCCTATAAAAATCTAAAATATTTCAAAATAGCTTTGCAAAGAATTGTTTTACTAATTATTTTTTTTTTTTATGTCAAAAGTCCACTTGAACGACAAGCAACTTCTGCATTTTCTGCTCGGATTAGTCATAAAATATTTTCAGTAAAAAAGTCTTCTTTAAAAAGTACTTATCCTATAAAAATCTAATAAATTTAAAAATACTTTTAAAAAGAATTGTTTTACTAATTATTTTTATTTTTTTATGTCAAAAGTCCACTTGAACGACAAGCAACTTCTGCATTTTCTGCTCGGATTAGTCATAAAATATTTTCAGTTGAAAAGTCTTCTTGGAAAAGTACTTATCCTATAAAAATCTAATAATTTTAAAAATACTTTTAAAAAGAATTGTTTTACTAATTATTTTTATTTTTTTATGTCAAAAGTCCACTTAAACGACAAGCAACTTCTGCATTTTCTGCTCGGAATAGTCATAACATATTTTCAGTAGAAAAGTCTTCTTGGAAAAGTACTTTTCCTATAAAAATCTAATAAATTTCAAAATAGCTTGCAAAGAATTTTTTTTTTTAAATTAATATATTTTTTTAAGAGAAAAGTACACTTGAACGACAAGCAACTTCTGCATTTTCTGCTCGGATTAGTCATAAAATATTTTCAGTAAAAAAGTCTTCTTGGAAAAGTACTTATCCTATAAAAATCTAATAAATTTCAATATAGCTTTGCAAAGAATTTTTTTTTTTTAAATAATTTCTTTTTTTGAGAAAAGTCCACTTGAACGACAAGGAACTTCTGCATTTTCTGATCGGATTAATCATAAAATATTTTCAATAGCAAAATCTTTTTGTAAAAGTACTTATCCTATAAAAATCTAATAAATTTCAAAATAGCTTTGCAAAGAATTTTTTTAATTATTTTTTTTATTTTTTTCTGAAAAAAGTCAATTTGATCGACAAGCAACTTCTGCATTTTCTGCTCGGATTAGTCATAAAATATTTTTAGTAGACAAATCTTCTTGGAAAAGTAATTATCCTATAAAAATCTAATAAATTTTAAAATAGCTTTGCAAAGAATTTTTTTTTTAAATAATTTTTTTTTTTGAGAAAAGTCCACTTCAACGACAAGGAACTTCTGCATTTTCTGATCGGATTAATCATAAAATATTTTCAGTAGAAAAGTCTTCTTGGAAAAGTACTTATCCTATAAAAATCTAATAAATTTCAAAATAGCTTTGCAAAGAATTTTTTTTTTTAAATAATTTTTTTTTTGAGAAAAGTCCACTTAAACGACAAGCAACTTCTGCATTTTCTGCTCGAAATAGTCATAAAATATTTTTAGTAGAAAAATCTTTTTGGAAAAGTACTTATCCTATAAAAATCTAATAAATTGCAAAATGTC